TATTATTTCCAGTAATTTAAATGCCTTGAATATATTATGTTTTCCCTAATATGAACTCTTAAACCTTTACTAAACCATACTGTCTTATTTCGCTCTGTTGCTATTTTTTTCTGCCGGGAATAAGCATATATATATCAATTTTTCCCTAATTGCTTCCTACATCTGTTCAAAGTCCCTTCTCAACTATTTAGTCCAATCTGCAGAAGACAGATCACGTTTCATTCCATCAAAATTGGCTTTCCTGAAATTTGGAATTAGGGTACTGTTACGCCTCTGTATGTTTGTTCGTTAATTTTTCTACGATACAAGTCCTTTCTTAAATAAAACTTGTTTATTCTTCCTCAATACAACTTTGCAATACACTTAATTTTCACAGTTACACACACAATAGTTCACAACAATTCACTCACTTTCTACCGTGCTTAACTCAATTGTCCGTCTCAATCTCCGCCTGTCAGCAACTATAGTTCCGATCTCTGTATCTGTTATCCTCGGTTCCCGCCGACCGTAACTGCCTGTCCTTGGTTCCCCATTCTCTCTGTCTAGCGCACTTATATACGATAATACCGCCTCTTCTAGAATCTTCTAGGCTCTCAACACGTGCTACCAGCGTCACTTGACTTCCGCTGTCGTAACACACTAGCGTTTATCGCGAATCTTCTAGAATACTCGTCACGTGACCCCCGCTGTCGTAACACTGGTCCTTCCTTAGTATTGTTCGTCACGAACAATAGCCACTTAGATTAAACCAATAAACAATTAACAATAACTTAATTAAATGTACAGAATTTACAAACACAAAATCAAAATTCAACAAAGTATTTTAATTTCACGGGACGTATCTTCTTCCGTACTGGTCTCCGTCTCGTTGGCTTCTGCTTCAAGTGGGGTTCATCTGCTTCATCAGGAAACGTCCTATCGTTGGTAACAGTCACATCAGTGGTAGTAAATTCATCAAGGGCTTCACTGTTTCCCTTCTCAAAACCGAATAGAGTTTCTTCTTCGAAGTTGGCTTTTTCAGGTGACATGTCTTCAGCAGCGTCATTTGTTCCGTTGTTCACTTCATCCCAACTGAAATGTTCTGGACCGTGATAAAGCCAAAGCCTGTTGGCATGCACCACCTTTGGCTTACCTCGCTGACCACATTTTATCTGGAAAGTCACGTCTGAGAGACGATCCACTATGTTATATGGGCCTTCCCATGGAGAAGACAACTTAGGAGGCTTCCCTTTGGTCTTCCTGGGATTATACAACCACACCTTGTCTCCTGGTACAAAGCTGACTTCAGTAGATCTTTTAT